TGGAGCTGCCCCCTCCTGGGGCGCGCTTTCCCGCAGGAAGCCCTGCCCACTGCAGATAGCCGGGTACTTTGTTATGCCCAGAACTGCCGTGGGGTCAGCTTTCCGAAACAGGCAGCTGCCAGCACAGAAGTGGAGACTGGATGGTGATGGGAAGGTGCCCTCTCTACCCACAGCACTCCCCACCAACTCCCACTCTTGTCGATTATTTAAAAACGACTACCACAAGCCCTGGCGAGTGTCATAACAGTGAGGTCTGTTTAATATGGCGTGGCCAGGAAGAGCAAGCTGAGGATGCGGAGGCAGGGGGTAGGGGCGGGTTTCCCCTGGCCTGAAACAGACCTAGTGTGGAGCCCTGCTACTTAGTGACTTAGTTTTCTGTCTGCAAAATGGAGTTGGGGACCAATATTGTATTTGAGGTGTAGAATGGCTATGAGAGATAATGCAATCTTCTTAGAGAGTATGAAAAAAATCCAATGATTTCAGCCAACAAGTCCATTTCAATGTAATTTAAATGTCTATCCAAGGACACTGAAATGAGTGAATGCATTGTGGTGTGTGTGTGTGTGTATATATATATATATATAATATTTTTTTTTAAAGAGAGATTTTTGCTATAAGGCATATGCACTCGCCAGAGAGACAGGGAGAAACAGAGAGACAGAAAACAAGGAATCACACTCCCAGGGGCATGGCCACGCCACAATCCCTTCTCCTCCATTCTGCTCTTGGGATCTTGGGCATGTATGCCCAAGATTAGTTTTAAGACACCGGGCCCAGGACTCGAACCACAGTTAACTATGTGGAAGTCCAGCAATGTAACCATTATGCTATCTGCTGGTCCCACATGGTGGTATATTAAGACAGTGGAAAGCTAGACAACAATGAGAATGAACAAACTGAAACCGTAAGCAACAACAGGGAGAATCTCACAGACATTAAGTTGGCCAAGGCCCCCTCCATGGTGGCATGAAGTCTGTACCAGATATGTTTCACAGGCCAGCCAAAGGGGAGCGAACACTTCACCTGCCGCTGGTAGCAGAGCCCCTTCCCGCACGCGCATGTCTTGGCCACGCACCGTCTGCAGCAGACACCCTCGACTGTCCAATTTACTTCTGTGCTTGCCCTTCTTGGCACCACACCAGCCCTGCTGCAGCTTCATCCTGGCCTTCATGATTTTTCTTACTCTCCTGAGCACGATGTTGATGTAGAAGTGCCAACTGCTTTTTCCTCTGCCTCCAGGGAGAGTCTGAAACTTCCTTATGGGACCTCTCATCAAGCGTGTGTTTATCCCAGTGCCCTCTCAGGTCCCGGCTCCTGGCCCCTTTCCTCTCCTCCTCTCCCCTTCCTCACCTGGCTGTTTTGGATCCATTTCCAATAGGCTACCAGGTGATAGTTTAGATCACAAGATGCGTTTTTTCTTAGAAATAACTACATTTTGGTACAGGATTCCTGAGGTCCATTGCCCATATTACAAGTCTTATCTATTCTCTAAATCTGTGGACAAGAATTTGTTTTCCTCGGAGGGACTGAAGACATTCCAAATAAAAGCCTGGCAGCTCCCGGGGTCAGGGTGCCAGTGAGCTATTCTAACAGATGACTAATTTATCATGAAGGTCCACAGGGAGCAGTAGACCTGAACCATGCCTGGAAAACACCGGCGTTTGAAACCTTGCTAGTTTCATGTTCCTGAGATCTACCCAACCCCTTAAGACATTCTTTCACCAGATTGTATTGGCTAAGAGAAAAGAAAAATGAAGTCTGCTCCGTGCCCATTTTGTGGGGATTAATAAACATGGTCCATTTGTGTTGTTTCTCTTGTCTGAAGAAGAAACGTGTGCTGGGTAATCTTCTTGGGACTTGTGCCTTTGACTCTATGAGTTGTGCTCTTCTGAAGGTCAAAAGCTTAGCAAAATATTGTTACAAAATGCTGTAATTAAGATTCATTTAGAGAAGGTTGGATGAAAAAATGTGTCTAAGAAGATTATCAAGTTATGACTCAGCCTAACCATGTAAATCTTCTTTCTAAAAAGTAGCTGATGTTTCATAAGAAGCTTCATTTAAAAATATCTCTACTGTCCTCCCTAGGAAAGTTACACCATGTAGAGAGAGATAAAGAAGAAAAATCTTGTATGTTGGAGACTAAGAGGTTTAGGAGGTAGAATATTCTGTAAGATCATTAAAGATTTTATAAACCAATTTTGGGTTGTGGGAATGGATATATTTTACATATGCCAAACTTGGTTTTGAGAAACAGAGTTTTGTAATTAAATGATTATATTGTTCTTTTTTCAAAAAATAAATTCATTTTTTATGAATTATTAATTAATTTATTATTAGTCTTCAATTTGACAAGAGAGAGACAGGGAGAGGGAGAAGGGGAGAGAGAGAAAGCAAGCTGCTGTGTCCAGGATTCAAACCACTGTCGGCCATGTAGGAGTCCAGCACCTTAATCATCATACCACCTGCTGGCCCCTATGCTGTTCTTAATCATCTATTCTTCTCTCTAGATCAGTGGCTTTCAAGTTTGAGCATGTGTTAGTGTCACCTGAAGGGATGGTGAAAATCTAAATTTCCCTTGGGGATTCTGATTTGGGATGGCATTGGAAATTGCATTTGTGACTAGTCCCCAGTGGTATTGATGCTGCTGGGCTGAGACCACGTTTAAGAACCGCTGGTCTAGATCTCTGTAAACCTGGCTGCACATTAAACTTACTTGGGAGAGCTTTAAAACTACCCAATGCTGGGCCACACCAGACCAGCTGAATTATAGAAAATCCAGTGGGGAAGCCAGGCTTAGAATGTTTCAGCAGCAACCCAAGGTGACACTGGTGTGTGGCCAGGTTGAGTCTTCGCTTTGGGTGAAACCTAGTCCTAGGAGCAGGAGTGAAACCTAGTCCTAGGGGCACTTAGGAACAGGAGTCCATCAACTCAAGTGATCCTAAATGCAGTTTCGGACTGGATGAGAATGATGTGGGTGCCTTCTGTCTGGCCAGCCCTAGTCTGCAGGGTGGCATCCTCCCAAACCAGTGAGTAACAGTTTTGGAAGGGAGTTCATGGTGTGTGCTATCAGCAAGATTACTGAGGGCTTGTAGGGAGTTTTCCTCTGGATGATAACTGGAAGGGCAGCCTGAGTCAGCGCAGGCTTTCGCTGTGCTTTGGCGTGTGATAGCTAGTCTGTCCACACTGGAGGACAATGACTCATTTTAGATATCTCGAAGAAAGGCAGGAAATACATATTTCTTATTGCTTTCCCTTCAAATGTTCTCATTTAACCCCAAATAACAACTAGTTCAAGGCTGGTGGAATTATTTGATTTTTTTACAGATGAGTAAACTGAGGCCAAAGCAGTTAAGTGAATATACTCATGACAAGGAGTGAGTGCAGCTGTGATTTGAATTTGGCTCTGCTGGACTCATCAGGCGAGGGCCTCTGTCCCAGGCCTCTCCCCACAAGACACAAACCCTTTCCTTCGACGGCCATTTCCCCATCCCAACTTCCCTCTAACTCCTGTCTTGTCGGCCCAGTTCCAACTCTCCCTCCTCAAAGTCCTTTCTGTTATTGCGACTAGAAGTCTTTTTCTTCTTTCTTTCTCTCCTTTCTTTTTTTCTCTTTTTTCTTTCCTTCCTTCCTCCTCTTCCTTCCTCCTTCCTTTCTTCCTTCTCACCCTCTTTTCTCCTTCCTTCCTTCCCTTCTTTCTTTTTTTCCCCTTCTTTCTCTTTTTTCCTTCTCTTTCTTCCTCCCTTCCTTCTTCCATCTTTCTCTTTCTCTTTTTCCTTCCTCCCTTTCTTTCTTCCTTTGAAGGATAGTTCATGATAACGTAAGAACTGTTTTTGGAGCACATAGGTCCAGGTGCAGAGGACACACGTTGAACACCCACATCCCCCATCGCAAGGAGTGGATGGGCTGTAATCGGCATGAGTTTCCTAGCCTTGTGCAGGCTGGTTGATTCATGTGTGTTGTCTGTGTGTCCTGTAGGCAGAGATTACTTATTCTGTTAATTTCCTATCTTTTAAAGCTCATCAGGAACCTCTTTAGCTAAGTATTTGTTATCAAAGACCTCAGGGTTACTACGTTGTATAAGGGACATAAAAATAGTGACTATAGAATTTACGTGTCTTCACTCTCAAGATATCGCTAGCATCAATGCCCTCTCTCATCAACATCGGGGATTGTCGGTTGTAATGCAAATACAATGCACGTTAATCACAGAGGTAAATTAGAAATCTTGAAAAAGGCACACGCTCTTGAAGCTCATGAAAGTGAGTTTAGAGAACAATTTGAATGCACACTCAAAGTTATGGATAATTGAGGACCTAACAGAGTCGTATCAGTTATTAACAGCGGAAGAGAGAAAATCAGGTGATGCATGATGGGCACTTTCCCAAGAGAATTATTGGAAGATCAAAAGATGAAGAAAGGACGTCGGTAAACAATGAAAACCTTTTGAATATTTCCCTAAAGTCAACATGAAGTGAGGGATGTTAAAAGACGCCATGATATAATTTTGTCAGAACAATAATATTTAAAATACCACATTCATGTATACTTTGTTCATTTTAAAAATTGGAGTGATGGCTATTTTAATTTTGTCAGTAAAAAATAATTTTAAAAAGTAATTGTTTTGTGCCATGATTTTTAATTTGTAAGATAAAATGCTAATCCATCTCCCCCCCTTCACTTTTGCGATGCTATTTTTGTCCTTTTAAAAGACGCAGACTCTTTTCTTGTACTAATTATCTTATTCTAAGAAGAACTCCCATTAACTCCATGTTTAACCAAGTGATGGACTGATCAACATCATTCTCGCAGAATCAGTGACCAGGACCAGCACAGGCAGACGGGGACAACTGACTGTGGGCTCTACTGCAGAAAGGAAGGGTCCATAGATCCAGCCGCTTTCTCTAGGAATGCAAGTACCTGGTCTAGTGAGGAGGTCACTTTGGGATACGCCTATTCAAGACTTCAAGGGAACTCTCAAGGCTCTAAAGGAAGCTGCTTACCCACAAAGCACCAGACTGCAAACCGGATCCATGTGATGGTGGAGAGCTTCAGCATGAGATAGATGTTCACCAGCATGGCAAAGGCAGGCACAAAGGGGAGGCAAGGGGCCATGTAGGGCAGCTTCTTGGGGTTCTCTGGTTGCTGCAGGATCACAAACACCAAGGCACTGATCAGCAGCACCATCAGAACAACCAGGAGGATGGCCCACCAGCTCTGCTCTGAGATGTAGTCAGAACCAAAGATGATGAAGGAGCAGAAGATGAACATGAGGATGAAGAGCAGAAGCACGCAGATGGTCACTGTGTGCCCTGTGGCTGCTGTGGGTCTGTCCATTTTGCCTGGAAGGCCCAGCCGGACTCTCATGGTATAGTAACGGGGCCCAATCAGCTTCTTCAACTTGATGAGATAAATGTTTTCAGATTCATCAGCTTCTATGCCTGTGGTCATATCCACGGTGCCATAGTTGGGGTGGTTGACGTTGTAGGTTGACTTGTCTGATTTCCCTATAAGCATTTCATTATCTCCCAAGGATGGTAAGTTTTTGGCCCCACACGTGTTGGTGGCTGGACCAGAAAACTCTTCCCCTTCACTCACAGGAGAACAAGCTTCCTTCTCACAGTCAGCCAGGATGCCCTCCTTCTTCTTGGTGTGCTCCTCAGACAAGAACTTGACAAAACCATCGATGTCACTCTCAGGTTGGTATCGAAGGAGCAAGACGCAGACAGAGACCAAGGTGTAGGCCAGGAGTGTGCCAATAGACATCATCTCTATCAAGTCCCTGAGGCTGACCAACAGTGAGAGGAGAGCCGCCAGGAATCCCGACACGATGCAGGCCACCACTGGTGTCTCTGTGTAGGAGCTTACATGAGCCAGGAACCTGGAGGAGAGGTGAAAGCAAAGGGTTAGCAGTGACTGAATCTACAGACGCCGGCTGATTCCAACATGGCCGACGCAGGGACAAGAGCGGTCAGGAGTTGGAGTGGTTAACTCCTCCTGGTCCGGCTCCTCCAGTTCACTTCTGTGTCTACTGCATTAAGACCAGCTACATTTCTACCTCAGGACTTGGATCCTGGAATATAATTTAAAGAATATCTACTTTAAATCCTTGGTTTCGAGGCAAACTTCCTTTTTAAAGTTCTTGTTTCATTATGTGATAAGAAGGATTGATTGAATCTAGGAGGTCTGTCAGAGATCTAAATCGAAACCCAAGTCTTGCTATGAAAACATGGCAGTTGGAGGAAGTCATACACCTGCCTTGGGAATCTTTTAGACCTGGGGTTAGAAGTCTTGGCATCTCCTTGGAGCTCATTATAAATATATACTATTAGGTTTCTCCCAAACTCTACCAAACCAATATCTCTGGGAGTGGGGGCCAGCAAAGTATGCTAAAAACTTCCAGGGAATTGTGACTTATGCCAAAGCCTGAGACATAGAGCAAAAGAACAGGATTTGGTTGGCAAAATAGCTCAGTATCTCAGAATACGTGCTTACTGACAGAGGCTCCGTCCACCGGTTACCGCTGGGGAAGAGAAGATTAACGAAGGCGATTAAATGCCAAGTGCCTCTTCAGTAGTCTCCAGAGGCCTTAAGTAGGTTCCCCTCCTCTCTTTCCTCCTGGTCTTTCCTGCTTTCCCTCGTCCTTCCCTTCCTTGTTCTCAGGATTCACACAACACTGCAGTGTGCTCGAAGTCCCAGCATCTTTCCTCTTAGTTTTCTTCAACAGCAGAATGATCTTTTGAACGTGTGAACTCCATCACCCTAGCCCTGCTTACAACTATTCAACCACACAAACACAGTAACTTGGACCTGGTGATTGAGGTTGCTCAGAAAACAGGGCAGAAGATGATGGCTGATGGTGGAGATAAAGTCCCTGAGCCAGTTCCCTCTGCATCCTGAGAGCTCCTTGGCATTTTTTTTTTTTAAACCATAGGCAGGTCACTTCGTGGCCAATAGAGGGAGCTAGAGCTATCAATATATTGGTATGGTTAGAACTCTAGGTTTTAGAATCAAATAGTTCTGGGTTCAAATCCCAGCTCACCATTCAGCAGCTGGGGGATCTGGGATAAGATTTTTTTTTTTTTCCTACTTCTCTAAGTCCTAGTATGCTCAGCTGCAAAACATTATTGTGAGAACAAAATGAGCTCCTGTATATGAAGCACTCAAGATGCACAGATGTTCAGTAAATGATCCTTGTTGTTGCTGCTGTTATTACTGCCTGTTCAGAGGGTCTTATCTCCTCTTTGTTTATTTATTTAAAACATTGGGCCAGCAAGTGGCATGGTGTTTAAGGGTGCAGGACTCCCACACGGCTGACTGAAGTTCGAGTTCTGGACCTGGTGGCTTACTTTCTCACTTTCCCTCTCTCTCGCTCTGTACCTTTCTGGTCAAAATTAAAATGAGTAAGTAAATAAATAAAGTTAAATAAAATAATTCTTTAAAAAAATAATAAAACATCAGAGTGGCTGTGGAGAGAGGAGCGGGAGCCACGCGTCAATTGCA